GCCACCTTGCTCCCCATGCTACTGGACAGCTCAGGGTGTGTTGGGAAAATGTAGCAGTGGTTAGGAAGAGCAGTAAGTCCATACAGTGAGAGGGTGGGGAGAGAAGTGGAAGAGGGGATCCTTTGAATTTCTGACTTTAGAGACCAAAAGGGGGAATTTTGAAGGGAAACAGAGAAAGCAGAAATGCCTCCCTTTCACCTACGGCATCAGAGGAGGGCATCTCAGGAAGTGAAGCAAAATGCCCTTCTTCTCCACTGAAAAAAAATGCATGCACCTAGGACAGGGATGGGGGTGGAGTTGAGGATTTGCATTTCTCATGGCAAGCATGCCCCCAGATTGATCCTTTGGCTCACTGTGGAGCCATTTGTGATCAGCGTGACTCCTCAGTTCCTAAAGTCTCAGTAGCACAGGGGTAACACGTTTCACTGACTCCATCCTACATGCTTTCTGGGCTGGCTTCCTACCAGCACCCTCCACTGAAACTGCTCCCTGTAAAGTCACTGTGACCTCTTCTTTAGCCAAAGCTCTGAACCAGTCCCCTGCCCTCATCTTTCTTGACCTACCGACTACCTTTGCCATAATCAGCAGTGGCTACAGCTGTGCTTTTGGGAGGGGTTGGGGTGATTATCTACCCACTGTATTGAATATTTGTAGGGAATGAATTCCAGGAGAGTCAGAAGCTGAGGCAAAACCTGATCATTGCTGCCATGAGTGTTTTCTTGGTGATGTCACTCCTGCTTATTCTGGGCTGCAGTTTCATTCACTACAAACTGGTGACAAAGGACAACACGTGAGTTTGGTTTTTTGGGGGTTTTTTTACAACAATTTAACGCCCTTGTGTGGGGAGCTGGGGTGCAAAAGCAGCTCCAAGCAGCATGGCAGGAGCCAGCACTGGTGCAGACCTGACCTGCAATGCCCGTGACTGCTTGTCCTGTGTCGGAGGTGCCTGCACCAGAGGCCTAGACTGGCAGTGCTCCTCATCCGGTGGCAGCACCTGATGGCATTAAATAGTCTGGCACATTTTAGCACAATACATCCTGCACTCACCGGTGCCTGTGCCTTGTCCCTGTGCTTTTAACATTGCATCATGGCTTGCACTGGTCCAAAGAGTCCACGAGCCCCTCATGGGCTGTGGATATGTAGGGGTCGATAGCTATGTCCATTATTAGAATAGCTTATTGCTTCCAACCATGAGACTCTGCTCTCTGCCACATATTTAGCTGTCAAACCATGCAAGCTAAAAAATATCACACTTGGGCATCTGCTTCGGACTGAATATTTTTTGGACACTTCAGTTTTCCCAAAACAAGCTGAAAGGGGAAAAAATGTTCTGTCCATATTAAATCATTCTAGCAACCTTTTCCTTGGACAACTCCAATGCCTTGGAGTTTGGTGGGGAAGAGTGCTTTTTGCTTCAGGGATGTGCCTTGGGTTGCCCATGTGAAGATCCACACAAGTGGTAGGCCTTTCGAGTCTGCATATACCCAGTAGAGACTTCTTGGAGTTCAGCAGTTAAAAATGCTCTGAAGTGTCTGTCCAGTCTAAACGTGCTCAAACCTCATAGCTCTCAGCGCTGACCTGTGTGTATCCCATCCCTAAAGAGCAGCTGTGAAACCTCCCTCCAGCCTAGAGTTACAGAGCTAAGCCAAAATTCCCCTGAAACAGCTGGGATCGAGCTCAGCAATGGAGCAAAGAGTAGGGAGCTGGTCTCTGTTTTGTTGCTCATCCCCACTGACATGCAGGTGGCAGGGAGGGGAAGCTGTATGACATGAATGCAGAGGAGATAAGGGCCAGACCTCTGGTGAGACTGGGACTGGAGGTAAACTGGGACTGGTGGGCAAGGAGCTGGGGTCTGAGCAGTAAAAGGAGGGGGAGAAAAAATCCTTCCCAGCCCTGTGAGACAACCAACAAACCCAGAAGCCTGGGCAATACCTATAGCATAGCACAGGCATAGCTACTCCTAGATCAGCCATGATCAATGCTCGCCTAACCTCTTCTTGAGCCCCTCTTCTAACAGTGAAGAAGTTTTTCCTGATATCCAATCTAAACCCACTTTGCTGCAACTTTAAAACCATTGGTTCATGTCCTGCTCTCTGCAACAGGAAAGAGGATGGTTTTTCTCTTCTTTATGACAGTGCTTCAGTTATTTGAAGACTGCTATTGTGTCCCATTTTAAGCTCCTTTTCAGCAAGCTGAACATGCCTATTACCTTCAACCTTGTATGGATGGCTTTCCAAGCCTTTTATCATATTTGTTGAATACCCCTGGACCCTCTTTAACTTCTCTGTGTCCTTTTTAAGCCCAAAACTGCATACAGTACTCAGATGGGGCCTAACCAGTAAAGACGCACTATTGTGTCCCATGTTTTGCACCTAATGCAGCCCAAAACCCCATTCGCATTTTGTGCAGCTACGTCACACTGCAGATTCATATTGAGCCTGCTATCCACCAAGACTCCCTAGATCCTTCCCCATAGTGCTGCTATTCAGCCAGTTGTCACCAATTTTGTATTTGTATTTTTGATTCTTCTTCCGAGGGTGTAGGGACTTCCCTTGTCAAGTTGCTCATTTTTTACCTTTGCCCTTCTGGTTTCAGCCCTGCAAGTTCTTGCTATTTTTGGTATGCTTCCTTAATGACTTGCACATCTTTCCCTTGCCTGTATACTTTCTTTTGCAGCTGAGGTATCCTAGAGGCTCCTTGTCTAGCCACATTAGTCTCTTACCATTCTTCTTGTGTTTCCATTGTGTTAGAAAACTTTCTTGTTGGGCTTCCAATGCAGTGCCCTTTAGACCTTCCAGCCCTCCGGGGCACCTTTATCCTTCAATTTGTCTTCCCTTGGCACCATGCCTATATCTTCTTGAATAGGTTGAATTCTCCCTTTCTGAAATCTGTCTTGGGATCTTGAATTCTGTCATATCATAATTACTTCCTCCCAAGTTTCCCATCATCTTTGCATCCTCCACCAATTCTTCCCTATTGGTCAGGACAAGATCCAAGGTAGCTGATCCCCTAGTTGTATCTTCACATTTCTGGAAGAGAAAGTTTTCCTCCATACAAGTTAGAAGCTTGTTGGACATTTTATGTTTGGCTATGTTATTCATCTAGCAGATGTCCAGAAAATTGAAGTCATCCATCAGTGCCTGCTCATAACCATAGGATAATGTTGTCACCTCTTTGAAGAGTGGCTTGGCCATCTCTTGTTCCTGACTTGATGGTCTATAATAAATCCCCACCATGATATTGGTACTGTATCTTTCACCTTTTATCTTTACCCAAACACATTCTGATCTGCTACCTTCTTCTTCCTGAACCAGGGAAGAGATAGGACTGGGCAGGATCAGGTTGGAGGAGATGGATAGGAGAGCATGCTCCCTAATATACCCTCCCTGTCAGAGCCAGGAATGAGACTGGAGATTTCTAACTTTCATTGTATCTTCATCAGCAGCAGATATCTGGGAAACGTACTAGCCATGAGTAGTGCAGTAGTGCACAACCTGCAGTAGTGATCCGCATAGAGGATTACCTACTAGTGTTAAGAGTTACCATTTTAATTCAAGTGGGCAATGGATCTAAAACTTCCAACCCTGTTCATTGAACAGTATTGGTGTCCATGTAATTTGCTTAAGAAATCTAAGAGAATTACACACACACACGCACACAAAACCCATGTTAGAAGGTTGCTTGTGAAACCTTAATTCACTCCCATTACATGTTTGGGCAATGATACAGTTTCTAATAACACAGTCACATACTATTTTTCCTTTACATGCCATGCACAAGGTAGATGGTATTTTGTTACTGCATGGTTAATTATTAATGGCTTATTCCTTATACTTGCTTAATAGGCTGACTTATCCTCATTGTTAAAAGTACGGTATTTATCCTCATTGTTCATCCATTGGTACTTATCCTCATTCTGAAATGTATGATATTATTTACCGCTTCAACCAATGTGATCCTACAGCTTCAAGCATTATATTAAAATTCAGATAGGTCTGTCTGTTTTGTTTTAGGGCCGTAAAGGAAGAAGTGAAGTCTGTTGCCATCAAGACTCACTCACACCGCATTGAAACAAGGATTGTCCTGTCTCCTTCCCAAGTCATGCAATTAGCTGCTTCCCAACAGCAGATGATGCCCATCTACAAACATGCTGGTCATGTGCTGCCACGACCAGGCTCCAATCAGTCTGGGGTCAGCTTCAAGTACATCGACTGTGGCATTGCCCCCTCCGCACCCAGAAGCCATACTCCAGAAAGCTTTCTATTGACTCACTCCAGGTCAGGAAGTCCTTACTCTCTGGATCGGCACAATTTCTTTGACATGTTCTCAAGGAGCTCTTCTAGGGAGTCTATAGACATCTCTGGGTACCCACATGAAGATGGAGAAGGAAGCAGTGATTCTGGGACCACAGTTTATTGTCCCATTCACAGCAATGGGGCAGCTGATCTTGGTTCTTTGAACAGATATTAATCATGCAGAAGAGAGATTATGACATGATACTGCTTTGTGTACATTTTACCATTTTACTTGTAATGAAAAAAAAACATTTAATGAGGGAGGAAAATTGCAACATTGATTATGTCCAGGCTTTGTCTGACAGGAAAGCCCCACAAAGAGATGGTTCCTATCAGCATGTTCTACCTTTCAACGAAGGCGGTGTCCTTCGGAAGTGACTTTTCTTTGGCCTTTTCCCTAACATGCTAAGAGCTGCAGGACCTAATACATCAAGCAGGGACCAGAAGGAATGCAGAAGGTGACCCTGAGACATCAGCTCCAAATCTTAGACCATGATCTGAGTAACAATGAGATTGATCAGTGGCAGCTGCTATTCATTAAAGTCATGTAGGGTAATTAAATCGCCAAATTAAAAAAAAAAATCTCACTTGCATGGAGAAAAGCAGAGATGCCTTTATTCACCCACACACTCTTCCCCAACTCATTCAAAATCATGCGACTGGGTGTCTGATATTTTTAAGGGAACCCTCCTAGAAAGATGGGACATGTTTCTTTTAAAGCTTGCCTTCAGTGTTAGAGATACAGTTAACAGAGGACTTGAGTATTACTGTGTAAGGGGGATTCAGCCCCGAAGGCATTGACTTCCAGGGAGCGGGATGCCTAATGACTCTTTGCTTTTTTGAAAATCACCCCAAAATGTCTAACAGCTTGCTTAGTCAATCAGGCCAAGGCCATTGATCTCTCAGCAAATTGCACTTTTGTATTTGTAGTTAATATCAGGTGCAAAATGGCACCCATGGAATTGGAGGTGGAGTTGAGCACCCTTAAAAGTGTTGGTCAAGATGCCACAAACTTACCAGATGTGCCCTGATTTCTTTTCCTGTGGGTCTTTGTACAGCCCCAACAGCACGTGGAACGTATGTGTGTTTCTACCCACAGTGTAGATGTTTCTAATGGGCAATAACTAAAACTGGACTGTCATAAAATAAGACCCAAGCCAAATCTTTTTAGAGTTTGAAAGAGTTTGGCCAACTCTTGTCTTTGGTTTGAAAGAGTTTGGTCAGCCCTTGTCTTTGGCTTTCTTTGTTGTCCTTCTGCACTTCCTGGCTTTTGTTGAGGCCAGGTGCCAACATACAAGAGCAGGCTGTCCATGATGTGGTTCTTCTCCACTCAGCAAGAATAAATGCTGAGAATCCCAGGACAGTGCCTATTTCCATGAGATTCTGCACCATGAGTGAAAGTTTTGGATAAAGATCTGAACTGTTGGCTGCTTGTTGAGTCTGAGCTTAGTTTTGCCCATCCGTGAATATAATCAGATTGTGATTTTAAAGGTAATAATTTACTTGATAAAATTAACTTATTTTCCTACTCATGGGATGACTTTCAGTGCATGATGATTTCCTCCTTTTTATTCATTATTCGATTTTTGTTGACCATTTACTTTTTTTTCTTCTATGAATTAATCCTAAACAGCCTGCTGTGAGTATTTAGTGCTCCGTGTCCAAAATTTGGACTAGGGTGGTTAGTATGTCTCCTGTGGTGTCAACAGTACCAAAGAAACCTCCTTAATTGGATGAGCTTAACCCTTGCATAATAACTGGGAATAGCTTGAAATGGCTGCTCCAGTTTTGAATATCATAGACTCATAGACAGTGAGGGTTGGAAGGGGACCTCAGGATGTCACATCTAGTCCAGTCCCCTGCTCCAAGCAGGACGAGCCCTAACTTCATCATCCCAGCCAAGGCTTTGTCTAGCCAGGTCTTCAAAACCTTCAAGGATGGAGAGTCCACCACCTCTCTGGGGAGCCTGCTCCAGTGCTTTACTACCCTCCTGGTGAGAGTTTTTTCCTAGTATCAAACCTCAACTTCCCTTGCTGCAGCCTGAGCCCATTGCTCCTTGTTCTGTCATCTGCCGCCACCGAGAACAGTCCAGCTCCAGAGTACCTCAGCGGGAGTTCGCAGAATTTGGGCATTTAGAAAAATGTTTAACCTCTTATTTAGGTCACAAAGCTTCTGCTGAGGTATCATTCATAAGGAAGAAACAAGTGGTTAAAAGCATGATTATATCCATGTCTGCTTGGTTTAAAAGTACAGGAGCACTGGCCAGAGCTTTCAAGAGACATCTTACTTGTGGACCTTTTCCCTTCTAAAGTAACTCTCTCTCTGGTTGTTTAGATTTTTAGTTGAGTGGGTTTTTTTTAATAAAAATGTACTAAAGCAAGTATCTATTAATTTTGTATCTCTCAACAGCTAAAAATAATCTGAGCTTTGAGTAACTCATCTTTTAATTACTAGTTTAAAAGATGCATCATAGTTAAGCAATCAGGACTTACAGTAGAGTTAATATCTTTTATTAGACCAACAAAATTTTTGCAAAAAAAAAAAAATTCTTTAATTGCAAGCTTTCGGGCACAAATACCCTTCATCAGCCATTGGAGAAAAGATGGTAAAAGTTCTCCTGGGTAGAAATGAAAGTTCATATTTCATAGGATTTCACAGAGGAGTCAATAGATGGAAAACTCCTCTGGGCAGGCAGTTCATAGCTGGTCTGGAGCCTCTCACCTCCTGCGAGGATCTGTGATGATGCAAATTATCTGGAAACAAAGGCAGGAGCAGGATCTAAGGTTTCAGGTGGTCACAGTTTCTTCCTGCTTGGGAAAATATTTTTTTTTTTTTTTTGTATTTCAGCAAGCTGCTTTGAAATACAAAAAAAAACAATCCATAATGTGGTAGAATCATAAAAAATCCAGTTAAAATAGGAAGGAAACCTCATTAGATTTGGGATCAAAAGCCAAGTTTAATAACTGAAAATGTCTCATTGGGTACACAGGATTTTACATGGTGGTCAGAGCTGAATCTGTAGCCGTAAGAAAGAAGACCTTTACCCTGCTACACCACAAATACGGTTTCCCCACAGTTGTATCTAGCAGGACTCTAGCACAAATCCCTGAGCCCTGGGGTCAGGTCTCATTTTCAGCTGCCCAAGCTACGCTGTAGATTAGCTTCTAACGCCTATCTTCCCCGTATGATTTTACAGCAAGGTCTAAGGAGGTTTTGTCAGACAGGTCAGGGGAAGCAAACTCAAATGCTGATTGCATCGGTGCCAGGTAGACAGGAATGAGGCTATTACGGTTTTAGTTCTGTGCCCTTACCCTGCACGTGCAGCCACCACCATGAAATTTAATTGACTTTAAAGGGACTTGGACTAAAAAAAAAGGGCCCGCATAGCAAATCCCCTTATGAGATCAAAGCCTAAAAAATCTCAGCTGCTCATCTGGGAAAGAAAAATGCATAAGTGAGCAGGGTAGAGCATTTGATTGGTTTTTTTTTTTAATGAATGGATTAGTGTGAGAAAATAATAGAAGACAGTATACACATCTTACAGCATATCTAAGCAAACCTATAGCCATAAATGTATGCTCTCCACCATCTGCGTGCATTTCTGTTTTCACTGTCTGAATTTTGTCTTGCGTCCAGATTTTAAGCTCTTTGGGACAGGAACTTAGCATGCTCCAGTAACAAAACTACCAAAAACTACATTGTAAGAATATTATGAAGGTGGGAAAGTCAAGCTCTCCACAGCTAGGAAGTGCAAGGATGAAAGCTGTGCAGGTGACCCGAAGCTGTGAGGCCATCTTTAATGGTGTGATTGCATGCTACGTTTTCCACGGGAGCCATGTGTCCTTCAGGGCAGCACATTGCCCAGGCCTGCCTTTCTCTATTCCTTT